ATATATTAATATATGTAATCCATCTTGATATGCGAACTTCATAGTGTTGATTGTGATGATGTATTTTAGAATATCTTTCGATCCGTCTGATGTATGCCTGGTGTGTGTCTAGTTCGTCAACGTGTAACCTTTATATACCATAGCCCCTCCCGCGGGCCACTAAGCTCCCCAACGCTCCACATCTTACAACTGGGTAATTATCTCCCACTTCTTATTCACTCGCGTCGGCGTGCACACACTCACTCTCTCACTCACTCTCACTCACTCATTCGCACGCACACCCACGTACAGTCGAATGGCCCAGACACAGTACCAAATGCGCAACTCCCGGTTAGGCCCCCGGAAGGCTCCTCCCGTTCGCCGTACTGCCAGTCTACACAAAGCCAAGAAGGCCAAGTGGCGCAGAGTGGAGGATCTGATCATAGACGCAAGCTACGACTCCAGTGAGAAGGACGGTCTTATATCAGGTTGGTGAGTGTGTGGGGGGTTGCGCTCGTGCGTGCATCTGGGTGGATGTTTGTCACGAGTGTGGGTGTGTGTGTGTGGGTGTGTGTGTGGTTGCGCTCTTGCGTGCATCTGGGTGGATGTTTGTCACGAGTGTGGCTGTGTGTGTGTGGGTGTGGGCGTATATCATTGGATACTGGCCACGAAGGTATGCAAGCGTGTCAATGAGTGTGAGTGTACACAAGTCTTGAGATTGCCGAGCGGCCACGCAGCACAGGGTGTAGGGTATGTCCGTGAATGCAAGCTACGTTTGGGAGGAGAAGAATGGTTTAATTACGAATGCGCGAATATTATTGTGTGTACCTGCGTTTATATGGGATCACGGCCATCTTAGGAAAGTTCGGTACATTTACTCGCACTGAGATGTCTGATTAATGATTATAGGCTATACTTCCGGACTAGCCGCACCTTTGCGTTGTCTTCCTAGTACTCTCGACCAATCAAATAATCCCTTTTTTTCTCCCACGTCTCAGGCGATATTAAAATGGCCAGCACGAGTATGAAGCGCATCAGCAGTCTACCCGCCGAAGCCTACAGTCGGTCTATTCCTGGGATTGGCAAGGTCTTACCACGCAGTCCACTCGAACCGCAAGGGCTCAACCATTTCTATAGCGCAAAACCAGACGCCAAGAAATTGGACCAGAGGTAGAAACTAAAAGCGGTCATTAAAAAAAATGGGATGCGTAGTATGGGAAAGGAAGGATGAAATTTTTGCACATAGGTCACACTGGCTACTGTAGCATTTGCGTGAGTCGTCTTGCCACACTGTGTATGTGCAACTATGTACTTTGTACACTCAACTGTAGATAGCTGGCTGTACTGCCAATTGTACCGATTATACCACATGCGTTAGAGCGCAGAATAATACGAATATCGCCACACGACTACGACGTCTGCGATCCCGAGCGTACACTCAAATGCGCACGATTTCGAACCTTTCGAGCGCACTCGGTGTGCGACGGACCTCCGTGGCTGAGAATATTCTGCCATTTATCTCTACTCTTTCGCACGGGTTACATCTCAGCCAGACTCTGCAACATTTCTTTGATCTAGCAGTGCTACTACTACCTCACTTCATTGCATATCACATACTCCTGTGAGATCAGATCGCCGAACTCCTGTGCAAACTACGATAACTATATACCTGCGACTTTGTTTGGTATTTCCTATCTGCAGCATTTCTATTTTTAGCACATATACATTTCAGAATACTCGCGAGCTCTATTGATTCCTGGCTGATCAGGTGAAGTGCGTGCCGCGCTGTCGTACGCCTTTTGTACCAATTCTTTGGGCTGTTTGTGTGACATAAAGTGGAGCGGAGGATGCGGCATTAGTAGCTACGACCACAACCCTAATTTGACGATGCCACTGTGGCCCATAGAGGCTGTGCGCAAATAAAAATCTGTATGCGTGGTACGGGTTATTTGAACACCCCCAGTTCAAGGGAAAGAAATATATGAATTACATCATAGTGCACAATGTCTAACGTAAACAGGCATGCGCTGCGCTTAGCTTGTTGCACGCCTACGAAAGGTAACATTGTCCGAGAGACATTTAAAGATAGAAGAATACTTTCACTGTTATACAACAACGCGGCTCATGTGGATGTATTTAATAGTATGTACAGATATAAATATAAAGGATCTCCACTTTTAGTTGTGGATACTACTGCACACAACCACGATTTTTAAAAACAAAGAGAGCGTGGGAAGTCTCTCTAGCCGTGTCTGCTTGCGAGGATGCGCTACATATTATTTTAAATAAAAAATGAACAAAAAAAATGATAAAGCAACACTGGCGAACAACATATTTTCCCCTTTAGTTCGGTACTTTAACAATATTTTTAATTCTGACCAATCGCTGCGATTGTACAATAAAAAAAAAGTTAAAACAGTTCGCCTTCATAAAAAGTCTTCACAATGCTTTTATTTACATATTTAAATTGCTTCATGTACTGCTCAGCCCCTCAAAATGAACAGTGGTCCCAGTTTCGACCATACGTCTACATACACAAAAGTAGTAAGTAAGTCACTGGCGTATATGCATCTCATACCACAACACAGTCAACACCATTTTTTTCGTGCACATGACCGCCGCAATCAGACTTTAATTCGAGTGCGGCGTTGTTTCTCTTGAATGTCTCTTGAATGTGGCGTATATAAGTAGTGAGTGTATATAATGGTCGAAGCCAAAGTGCATAAGAATGATCAGGAACAGCGCAGAAAATCACTCAACATGTTCAATTCACTTAGTTCCATGCTAAAAAGGGGCAAAAACAAAAAAAACATGTCACAAGTCACCGGTGAACCCTACGATAGTGATGGCAATACTACGGATTTGTCTTTTGCCGAGAACGATGCTCGTGCATCTGATGCCAAACACAAATCTAATTCCAATGGAATGACGCCGGTCGATACCGAAAGGGAATTGGATCGATTGCAGAGCGATAACAAGGTACCTGATGTAAATTTTGGTAGTAAAGTTTTAGAGACGACATCTAGTTCGCATAGGGGCCAATACACCCCCCTAGAATCCAAGAAAAACCCGGCTGCTGTCACTACACACACCCATTTCCCTTCGTATGCGGATGTAAACAATGATCTGAGTATGAGTGGATTCGACGAGGTCACGCTGAGTGAAAATAGTTTGCTGGGAGTGGTTGACGTTGTACCAGGTGACCCGCTTAGTGGCTTCGAGCTAGGCACCTCCCCACAACCTTATCACCTGAGGAAATCGATCAATGTAGATGACGGTAGCGAACAGCGTATGAACGGTGGTCCCGAAACATCTCACAAATTAGCCCGTGCTAACATGGATACGGACGAAACTGACACAGAAGTGTCCCGAAATGACATTGACCACACTGGTGTTGAGCCCTTTAAAGTTGGCCCGATATACAGTGACAATGACTCGAGTCAGGTGGCGGAGAGGGCTGATGGTATAGTACCAGATAGATTAGATGTCAGTGATATAGCTAGTGATCACGGTATGGGCCTCGATACGGTTGGGGTGAGTGAATCGGAAAGCGATGAAGATGCAATTGAATCTAAAGATATTATACACAACGGTACGAATAGTGGTACAGAAGGTGCAGGATTTAACCGGGTAGGTGTGAGTGATTCGGAATCAGACTCCGAAGCAATCAGGGTTAACCGAGTCGTCGCAGAGAACCAGTCCGACAATGTGGACGAAAAAGTAGCCGGTTTCAACAAAGCGGCACATAGTAGTGCCGAGAGAGAATCTGATGAGCAAATGATAGGGTTCAATAGGGTAGCACACAGTGACGTGGATAATGATGCTGACGGGGAAATGACAGGATTCAATCGCGTCGCTGTACAGAGCGAGTCCGAAGATGAGAGTACAGGTGCCGGATTTAATAGGGTGGGACATAGTGACTCTGATAGTACCGATACTGAAGAACTGTCGGGGTTCAACCGAGTCGCCACAGCGAGTGATTCCGACACGGACAGGGAAGGTGCCGGGTTTGAAAGGGTCGCGCATAGTGATTCTGAAAGTGCCGATGACGGCCAACAGTTTGGATTTAATCGTGTTGCATTTGCCAGCGATTCCGAAGGTGGGTCTGTAGTGGCTGGTTATGATAGGGGAACACACAGTGATGCGGAAAGTGATGAAGAAAAGGCAGGTTTCAATCGCGTTGCTCCAGAAAGTGAGTCCGAAAGTGAGGGAGAAGTAGCTGGGTTCAATAGGGCGGTACATAGTGATGCAGACAGCGATAGTGATCCACCTGCGGGATTCAACAGAGTGGCGGCTATGGGTGACTCAGAGAGCGAGGCAGAAACATCTGGCTTCAATAGAGTGGCACACAGCGACACAGAGAGCGGAGATGATAGTGCCGGGTTTAGACGAGTTGGTGTGAGTGATTCCGAAAGCGATGCGGAGAGTGAAGGAGATGCGAATGGCTTTAACAGAGTCGGACATAGTGATACAGAAAGCGATAGTGATCCGCCTGCGGGATTCAACAGAGTGGCAGCTATGAGTGAATCAGAGAGCGAGGCAGAAATGTCTGGCTTCAATAGAGTGGCACACAGCGACACAGGCAGCGATGATGACAATGATGCCGGATTTCGACGAGTTGGTGTGAGTGATTCGGAAAGTGATACGGAGAATAACGTACATGCTACCGGCGCTAGTAGCATAGCACGTGGTGATGCTGGTAACGGTGGTAAACTACCTGTGGGTGGGCGTAGTTTTGGCGTCGAGTCGGTGGCCTGCGGTGATACAGAAGGACAAACTGGGTGCAACCTGGATGGCCGCAGTGATACGAGTAACGATACAGAGCCAATAGAGACGCAACGTGTGATCAAGATACCATTGGACACGGCTGCCACCCAGGATAACCTTGAGAAAAAATCCCCGCGTCCGCCCAGTCGGCGGTTCTCCAGGGAGTCGATGTCAGTCAGTGTGGAGGACGTGCTGAGCTACTACACCGGCAGTGGCAGTGGCAGTGGCAGTGACCGTAATGAGGAGGATGGTGTTGCAATTGGTGCTCTGGGCGAGCCAGTCAGCAATGAAGGGATACCAACCAGTGCCAAGTCCCTTGCGGGTGCTGCGGCGGTTGCTGGTATAGCTGTATTGGGTGGTGCTGCTGTGTTGCCATGTGCGGCTGTGGGGGCGTGTGACGTGACGGCGCTGTCCGGTGCACAAGACCCAGAAGTAGAGGTTGCGAGGGGAGTCGAGGAGGTAGATGAGATGGGGGACAAACCGTTCCAGCAGTCTCGGGATAAGGGTGCAGATAGTGTGCCGAGTATTAAACCCCGAACCGGGGCGGGTGTGGTGGAGGGTGATGATAGGCCCGTAGGCAAGTCGCGGAGGGTACTGCCAGATGCTGGGCGAACGAAGACAGCGAGTGAGAGCAGCACGGACGCAGATGTGAGTAGTGCCACTGGGCGTAAGCCCAAGCCGCGCCAGCGAACGCCCAATCGTACCGGTCCCACAGGCACACTATCGGCCACGACCTCGAACACCGATACAGATACAACAGAAACGAACCGGACCGCCAACGGACAACCCCGGCAGACGACCAGGCCTGTACCAACCCAGGCCAGCGCTTCACAGTTACCACACGTGCCTCGACCCCGCCACTCTGTGGATACCAAGTACAGGGCCGATGGGCTGAGCTCAGGGGCAAACAGCATGAGCAGTCTGGCGTCCAACACAAGTGTGAGTTCTATCCTTAGAACGGGCGACAGCACGTGCGGGGTGGGCACGCCGCTGGACGATGACCAGAAGAAGAAGGTGGCGTTCAGATCAATGAGTACCGGCAACGATATGACGGCTACAATCGCTGCGCTACATCCAAACAAGGCCGGTCGACCGCGGGGGCCATCAGATGGGTCTGTGCCTGTGTCGGTGCCTATGCGGAGAAATAGTTCGCAGAATACAGCGGACGACACAGCAGCTGCATCTGCCTCTGTGCCCCAACCAACCAAGGCCACCCGACCAGACATATCTCGCGGACCGGCAGCCATGCCTGGTGGTGTGCCCGTACCCGTGATGCGAGCGCATAGGAGTGTAGACAGTGGACACTCTATAACCCTGGACGAATCGGCTCCGGCGGTGCTACCCCCGAAGCCAACGGTGGCCAAGCGACAATCATCACAGGGGTCTTTGCCTGTGGCAGCAATGCATAGCTCAAACGATGACATCGCCACCACACCCGCCAAAGTGGTGCCGAAGAAAATCACCAGACCATCGGTGACGGAGAGTTCTGCCGCCAACACTGCCAGCAACGGCGATACTGCGGACGAGAGTGTGGCAGATGCGTATCCTCCGCGGGCTAAGAAATCCATTGGCCTATCTGATGGTGCCGTAGACCCGGTTGAGAAACCCGTCATTCAAGATCGTGTCAAAAAACCTGTCAAGACGCCAGTCAAAGAGCCCCTCTCGTACCGCTCTACTGAGCCTGCCAAGCAACATCAAGTCGCTGTCACCGAAGCCATAAAGGAGCCTGCGCCGAACGCTACTCAGGAATCCTCAAACCTCTTTAACCCCCCCACAGCAGCGAGGGACGCCTCCACAGGTGTCCTCAGCACCCCACAACCGCCCGTTGTAGCACAAACAGGCGAGCACACAGCCGTGACTTCCTCGTCGCAGGAACACGTCCCCTCGCCTATCGCACGCCCAGACACACACGCCTCGCGGGTCACCCAGCGTATGTGCGCTAT